ATTGTACCATTCTCTGTGATATGAATGAATGATTGAACTATTGGATTATAGGATATATAAATTACGTGTGAATAAAACTGCTGGAAGAAAAGAGAAAAAAACATGCTCCCTTGACTCAGAGAGTGAGCTAACCATGCCTAAAAAAATAGGTTAATAGGCAAATATCTTACAATGTGATAATTACTATGAGAGACGTGTACAATGACAAAGTGACAGAACAATTAATTCTAATTCTGCCCAGTCACCATGTCTCATCTAAAATTGTGTTAACATGATCTCTCCCTGATATCAAGTTTAAACATCAGATTTCTTCCTCCCCCCACCCCCCAAACCTGCAGTGTGAAATACATTACTTTCTCGTTTATACTATTGCTAGTAATAAAAATGTTTTATATCTGAAAGTAGATGCTCAGCAGGAAAGAGGAAGCCCCTCGGTGAGATGAATGACACAATGGCTGTAACAATGGACTCCAACATATGTATGATAGTGAGCATGCCACAGCATGCTTCATTCGCTGTGCACAGGATCACTATGAGTTGGAATCTACTGAAGATGCAGACTTACTGCCATCAAATCCTTTTAGACTTTTAGCAACTGTGGTAGTTATATAACCTCCTGTCAACCTGAAGAAATCAAGAGTGGAGTCCAGCCTGTCAATTAGGTCACAGCTTGAGGATGCATCCCTGTGGGCATGGCTTTCTCATGAGGATTCTGGAAACTTCCTCTCTCTCTGCCTCACCTTGCTGTTGAGGAGTCACACTCAGAGAGCTGGAGACCTGTACCAGCACTGAGATGTTTCTACCACCATTGGATCCACAAGACTTTCCACCCACCAGCCTGTGATCTTCCTGCATTCAGCATCAATGCAAGTGTTGTGTGAGTCTGAAGAGATATTTATAGACTAGTATCAGAAATATGGGCTAATATCAAACTTATGGACTTAATCTGGACTGGGCTGGGATGTTCTCTCATTGTACACCTGCTTTTTGATATACAGCTCTTTCACACATGAGTGTCTCTGGATTTGTTTCTCTAGTCAACCCAGACTAACACAGCAACCATATAGGACAGAGAACTATCTTGTAGGTTTCCAAAGCTGTGACTCTTTATAGGAGTAGAAAGGTTCAACTTTCTCCCAAGGAATGGCTGGTGGTTTCAACTGCTGACTTTCTAGTTAGCAGCCCACTATGTAACTGCTATGGCATCAGGGCTTCTTTGTCACCTATTATATGGCACCTAAAAACACCACAGTATGAAGTTTTCTACAGCATGTAGTTCTTCTTTGTCTATACATATCTACTCATCTGATAAACCGCTGGTGGACTTACTCATTTAACAGCTTGTTGTTGAATATATGTTTATCATATGCCAGATAATGGGCAAGATGCAGGAGGAGGAGAGGAAAAATGAACCATGTTCTCCTCACTCAGAGAGCGAGCTAGCCATGCATAAGAGAAGGCAGTGCTAATTGACAAATATCTTCCAATGTGATCATTCCTATGAGGCAGATGTACACAATCACACGGTCAAAGAATGATTAATTCTACCTAAAGAAAGCTAAGGAGGTCTTCACAGAAATATTGACCTTAAATATATTTATTTAATGGAAATGTTAATAGGGATTTCCCAGGAAGGGATATAACTTGGGAGACGGATGGAGATGAGCAGGGGAAAACAACTTGAGGCCCCCAATAGTGAAAATGTGTCACAAGAAGAGAAAGTTCAAGTCTGTGGGGCTGAAAACCCAGGTTGTGAGGGGGAGGTCAGGAATGGACAGGGAATTTTGAGTGTCACATCCCCGCACCCCACTCCACTCCTGCCCCTAGTCACCATCCAATGCTTTGAACATAGTATTAATTTAATAGGTGTGCTTTGACTGTTGCAGGCATATGTATTGCTGACAGTTTGTGTGTCCCTGGACTGGTTGTCCCAACCACAACGTGAGCGGTATGCAAGGCACAGCAAGCCCAACCAACTCAAAGAAGTGCAGTGTACTGCCTCTGTG